ATCGCTCATCTTTTGTATAAAGTATTTTTTCCTGAACACACACACACACACACACATGAATAAATGACACTGGGGATCTAGATTGTGTTATTTTCCTCTAGGTTTCAGTCCTTTTAGTGTAACTTAAGCTGATCCAACCACGTTATTGTCAATTAAATAGAGAGCATCTGAAGAATCTGTACCTAAGCTTATTTTACCCTTATGATTTATCACCCCTATCCTAACACTATTTAAAGGGATGAGGTTAGTTTAAGGTGGTTAATCTGTAGGTTAAATAAGCTGGAGTGTGTAGATTCTTCTGGTGTTCCTTAAATAGTTAGGTTTTTTGGTGACGTTTCAGTTTTTGTTGTTAGAAATAATTTACACATATAAATTCTTAAGTAAGTATCGTGAAATTTATTAAAACAAAATATGTATATTCATTTATTATTTGAGCATCACAATAACCTAGCAAACTTATCGTAACATTTTAATATTGGAAAATTTTATTGAGAGCATAAGTTTATGTGAACGATATATATTTTTTATGTGAATTTGGAAATAAATGGCTTTATTTACATTTCAAATAAGTTGCATATATTTACGACTTTTTGCTGAACATAATTAGTTGCAATTTGACTAGCCAATTAACATGAGACTAGTAGAGCTGGTGATTTACGCAATATTTACACTGAGGCACAGATATGAATTCCTGTGTAAATACTCAGTCTTTGAACATTGGAATTTAGCAAAGATAACATGTAAACAAGTAATTACTGAGTGTTATCAGAGCAAATAAGTTTATTATCATGTGTCAATATTTATACTGTGTTGTGCCTGTGACCATTCTATCACATCATCTTGCACCTGTCTCGACCACATCTGTTTCCCCCACACACCAGTCCCACCAACACATCTGTCTCCTCAATAAAAGTGTCTCGCCAGCAACTTTGTTTTCCCAACCAAACTGTACCAAAATCATGACCTATCACTGTCCCCCAGTACACCTGTCTCACCTACACACCTTCCCCAATACACCCGTTTGTCATACACACCTGCCTCTCAGTACACCTGTCTCACCTACACACCTACCCCCGTAATACACCTGTCTCACCTACACACCTAACCCCAGTACACCTGTCTCACCTACACACCTACCCCCGTAATACACCTGTCTCACCTACACACCTAACCCCAGTACACCTGTCTCACCAACTGCACTAAAAACAAAGGTCTTGAGTCCATCGTATAATGAGACATAAATAAATTAGTAACATTAAATACCTCCATGACACATTTCTCATTGTCTCACACAAACGACATCATTCCCAGCATCCACTTACATTCCCTAACTAACTCCATTATACAACCATCACTGTCAAAATCCTTACCTGGGATTTTATTAAACCTAAAATCCCTGCACAGGTTTTTGACACTGTAAAGACTGGGTACAAAAAAAAATGGCTGGTTAGTTTCATTTTTCTGGCTGGTTTATACTTGTTGTTCCTCTGTGTAATAATGTGGTGTTTGTTCCGACGTTGAATACTATATAGTTCTTGGTTATCTCTCCGTCTCCTCTTTTTCCCTTCGTTATTTCTAGGGTTAGTGTGACAATGTAATCCAGTTCATTATTCCTATTACTCTTTTCTAAATACCAATTACAGTATAATGTTATTCTCTTTATCACGTCGCTGAGATATAGGAAAACAAGAGAGATTTGTTACCGAGGCATTTTCAACTTTCACCTCCAAGTGTGTAGGAGAGAGTTGTGTTGGAGAGACAGTTGTGTTGGAGAGAGTTGTGTTGGAGAAAGTTGTGTTGGAGAGAGTTGTGTTGGAGAGACAGGTGTGCAGGAGTCATTTATTCCCCTCCGGGCTAGAGAATGCTCAGAAAAATATCGCGTGCTGGACATCAAGTGAACGGCCTATTCTAGTGTAACATTATTTTCGTACCATAAATGTCATTAGTCACTTGTCTTCCCCCGAGCGCCGCAGTCAAGTTTTCAAGCATCAAAATTCACAAAGAATGGTAATTTCTTTAACTTGAAAGACAATTAAAGTACTCCAGAGACCAATTCTTCAGGATGAAATGCGAGTCAGTTTACATTAATACTCCCACGTTGGACACATTTTGACAACCAGGTGATCCAATCCTTGAGAAGGGCCACACTCGCTATGAACCTACACATAAAGTTTCTTATTATCAATGTTATGTTTACAAATATTAAGAAAATAAGTCACTATACCTTTTTTTTTTTACTCCGAATCGATGAATTATTCGAAATGTTTCTTTTCATTTTAACTTTCCTGTGTTAAAGCGAGATTTGTGGCCTGACACGACATAGAATAGTGTTATTTCGACTTAGAGGAAATTTTTGACATTTAACATTAAAATCCACAATCCACAAGTGACGTTTGAGATGTGTATTTATGGCCATAATATTCGAATTTGTTTGGTCATCTGTCACTTTAACTGATGAATTGCAGACTCAAATGCTATATACCTAGGATGCATAAATTACCTCATTATAATTACTAAAGTGATCAATGAGCAATTTGAAGCGACCCACCAACTTACCTGTGATCAAAGGTCTGTGTGTAGAAGAAAGACGACTGACTGTAAAACATGACATAACCCAAACTACATTAGGGTTATCTACCGTCACTCTAAAGAATTTGAGTTGAGTTTCAGAATCTTTCATATAAAACATGTAGGAAGATCTATCACGAGTGAGCAACCCAATGTCTGACTCAGTAAAGGAAGAGAGACTTAGTCATCACATATGGATAGGTTAATTATCTCGACGCCCTCAGGTGAACCTCGCCCTGGAAAAAATACTTGTTAGAATTCTTTTTATTTTTGATTTTTATTTCTTTTATGTTTTTTTTTCTTAAGGTCTATAGTTTCAAAGAGAATTAAATCGACTGTAAATATAAGAGTAAAACAGTTTTGGGAGAGGCTTTGTGTTGAAGACGGGACAAAAACAACAACACCACAGAACTTCATGGGTTATTGTAGTACCTGTAGAGGAAAGATTTAATACACCTCTGGCACCGTTTAGTGATAGAAGCATTGTTGTCATGGTTGTTAATGGTGTCACAAGCTCGTTTTCAATACCGTCGAACACACAAAGAGTGACACCACCATTTGTTTTTACTCAGACTAATGACACATAACCTTTACATGCCATCGGCTGCTGTGAGATGAAGATCGATAAAGCTCGACAACTAAAATTCTGAAATAGTTGTTATAAATGGGGAGTCCTGTGTAATAAGACTCAAAAACTAATTAAGTATGATACAATTAGTCTTTATATAAACAAACCAGAGACAAAATAAATTAAAATAAAATTAACAGTCGAATAATATTAAATAAGAGTTGTGTAGTGGATACGAGACGCGTGTTCATCCACCTACGGTTAGAATTAAGGTGTACTGTAGGTAGACAACCACTTCACTGGCTTGTTAGTGTATAATTACAGAGCTAAAACGAATTACTGTAGACTTTTATAAATGCAAGATCGTAGAGACCAAAAGCTGTATACAGTATTTTATATATCTCTTGCCACACACACACACACATACACACACACACACCTTCCTCCCTCCTCCTACACACAAACACTCACACCTTCCTCCCTCCTCGTACACACACATACACACACACCTTCCTGTCCATTCAATGCCACTAGTATCAACACTAGTACCGATAATTTCCTGTAGTGCCAATAGTATAACCAACAGTACAAGGTATACCAACATTACCAGGCTGTTAATCACTATTTGTCAACAGGTAAAGTTACAGGTCATTACACAAGGTCAGAGGTCATGTATTCAAGGTCATAGGCTGTTAAGAGACAAGTCCTCTGGAAGTATCTGGCCAGCAGTAAGTGTAGAATGTAATTAATCTAACTCAGAGTTTTTTCTTCTTGATACAAAGTGAAATAAAATGCCATAAAAGCCGTAGGCATTTTAGAGAATTAGTTTAATTAAATCTGAAAACTCACTAATGGTGATTAATGGTACCTTAATGGTTCTTCTGTGTGTGTGTGTGTGTGTGTGTCTTTCCCTCCATCAGTCCTGTATAACAAGTGTTTTAGTTGTTTATCACTGTTTTGTTCTTGTGACAAACACCAAAACATACATACGTAGTGTAGTTTTTTTCAGTCCAGATTGTTCTTAACACATAATGATTGTTGGTATCTTAGTTAATGGGATGGTTCAAACACACTTATCCTTGGCTTCTTTTTTCTTAGAGAGAAGGGAGTAACATAGCCGCAGGTGTGATGCCTCTTCAACACGTGTTAGTGGTTTCGTGTCTGGCGACCAACTGCTGGCTGCTGGCACCATAATTTCAGGTCAGGTAGAACTATGGTTAATTGAAAGTCACTGGAGTGTGATGTAATTAATATGATGCTATGTGTAAATAGCCTACGAGAGAGCGAGACAATAAATGCATCTTAGTATTAACTGATAAATTTCCTCGTTTCTGTGAATTAGTACCTCTTAACCCTTTAGAGGGCAGTGCACCCCTTAGGTAATTATATTCTTCCAAACAATAGTAAACAGTAAGGACGTTTACCCAAGGAACACCAACAAAGTCATCAGATGATCATTCCTGCTTTTATTTTCGAAATCAGAGACCTATCATGGCTAGGCTGATAATTGTCATATTCTTGTTTATAGATATAGACTATCTATGACCATGATGAATTTCAATTTAAATTCACTTTAAAAATATTACTGCAATCAAATTCTATCTTGTGCATGAAGAGCATTATCTCTAACTGTATACTGTATTTAAATATGTAATAGAAATTAAAACTTACAAACAACACGACAAAATCATTTACAATCAACATTTTGCACGAAGAAATACAAGTAATATTTTACACAATCAGAGAGATAAACAATCAGTAATATTATTCAGTGCAGCAACTAGTACCGGCTGATCTCATCATAATTTGGAGAAGGTAGACTAATAGTATACCATTGCTACATGTAGGCCAAGAGTCCCGGTGCTTAGGCACACACAGAATGCTTAATCCATTCCTCGAGTGTGAAGGTGGCACTCCGGGTCTTGTCTGGATCCTTCTCTTGGAAAATTTCTGCAATGTGAAGTATAGGTGTTAGCTTTTGATGGGATTTGATATGGAAGAGCTCAGTATGCCCTTAGCAAATTTGTTTAACATGTCCTTAAAAACGGGTGTAGTACCAGAATCCTGGAGGATAGCGAATGTGATACTGATTTTCAAGAAAGAAGATAGACTCCACACCTTATGTTCTTAACCTAACCTCACTTAACCTAACTTAACTTAACCTAACCTAACCTTTTATTCCGAGGGGTAATCTCAGCACACTCAAGTTAACAAACTCCACAGGTCAATCTGACGCCCCATTACTGATTTAAAATTAACCATGAAGTTTCAGGAGACATTTTGTATACGGAGACACACATACGAGTATATCATTTAATAATACTCACCCATTGTAGTTCTCAGCCTGACAGAACACGTAAGGAAATCATTGAGGGACATTTTTCCTTCCTCATCACCGTAGAAGTACATGAGAGTGTTGCAGATGCTGTTGTTGAGGCAGTACCCGGCTGATTTCAGTGCCTGGCGACTCTCGAAGGCACATAGGTAGCCAGAGTTATCGGCATCACACTGCTTGAAGACATTCTGTAGGAGGAAGAGTAGAGTCGTGGGTGATGTGGACCAGCTATCATAATTTTTAAGTGAAGTACGAAGCTCTTGATTTACTCTGCTCTATTTACTTTACTCTACTCTACTCTACTCTACTCTACTCCCTATATTGTTTTGAATTTGCTCCTACATGACTTACAGAACTTCTCATGCACTCCTTAAATAATTCCATAATACTGTTCATGTCCTCCGAATATAACTCACAGATCTGCCACACTTTTAAACCTTAACAATTATGAAAGAAACTTTATATATATCACACACCAAAAAGTATCTTTATGGAGTGGTCCGATGAATTTCAAAATGAACACAGAGACTTCCTATTGTTTGTGTATGATTGTCAAAATGCTTCGTCCGTTGCATCATACAACATCATAAAGATACATTCTGGAGCGTGAGTTTGACGATCACATAAATCATAGACGAGTTTCTCCTCTTAAATTCTCACCTTCCAAACCTTAATGATTCTCCACAATCGCAGGAATTCCTTTAGGTCAAGACTTCCTGACTGTGTTGTGTCGATCATGGCAATCATATTCTGACACAGACTCTTGGTGATGCCCTCGATGTCAAACTCTGCATATGGCGGCAGTAAAAGGGATTACCAGGTTAATTAAGAGAATTCAAGGAAATCATTGTACAATATGTAAGAAATAAATGTAAAAGTATTTGTCATTAATATCTACCGGTAGCTTGTCACAGATGTCAGATATCAGCCAAGGATAATGAACTGTGGACTGGTCTGGATTATCTGATTTAAGTCACCTGGTTCATATTCGAGATTTGTATACATTTAACGATCCAATATCTAGAACCTGAGGGGCTACTGGTGCTGTATGAGGGCTGAGGGGATACTGGTGTCATACTGGGGGACCTTAGGAGTTACTCTTGCCATACTGGGGTCTGAGAACTACTGGTGTCATACTGGGGACCTGAGGGGTGATTGGTGCCATACTGGAGGACCTAAGGGGCTACTGGTGCCATACTGGGGACCTAAGGAGTGATTGGTGCCATACTGGGGACCTAAGGAGTGATTGGTGCCATACTGGGGGACCTAAGGGGCTACTGATGCCATACTGGGGGGCTTGAGCTGCCCCAGCCCTAAAATTTCCAGCCCCAGCAAAAAATCTCAAGTCTCAGAACCAAAATTACACCCACTGAAAAATCGTTTAAATTCTGTGTCAAATAATGACCTAAACTGTACAACCTGTATTAAAAACTGACCTTTTTTTAATTCAAAGTTAAGTATTTTTTGCAACTTCTGCCAGTCAACTTCCAAATCTTCTCCTGCGATCCTCTCGAAGAACTCCTGAATGCTCTCACTTTCTTCTTCTTCCTCCTCCTCCTCCTCCTCCTCCTCCTCCTCTGGCTGTACCTTCACCATAACAAAAATATTACTCAAACTGATCGACCTTTTTTGCTTAACACCTGATAGTAAGAAAGTTATCAACTAAAACACAGAGATCAAATAAACTAAACAAAATCCATAGCAATATAAAGATTTCATTAATAACTAGATATGAATCCCTCCTACTTGATAAACTGAACATTTATTTCTCTCCAAAAACACATAATAAAAATACCTTAATATAGTACTCTAAAAGTTTCATATTATACACTTAAAATTTTAAATCATTTGTTTATTTTTAATGTAATAATGTACCTATATTCACTTATTTATTTTTTTATCACATATTTCCTCCTAAACTTTTTGTATCTGTTGGTGTCATGCTAGTCTTCGTCCCTGTTGATTCTGGTAACTTTTTTTTTTCAGTATTATATCAAATTAATGCTTAAGGTTTTACTCACTACACTAATGCACCTGCCTTACACACACACAGTAGATATAGTACCATACTTACCTCTTCGTCTTCCGGAATACCAACCTCTTCGTCATTCTCTCTGGAAAAATTAATAATGTGGGATAATATGGAGTATAATGTGCTATAATGGGGCTATAATGTGGGAATATAATGTGCTATAATGGGCCTAAAATGTGGGGTAACCAGAGTCAAAAGTAAACACACTGCACAGTTTACTATCCCATAAGAGACACTTCACTCTTGGCAGTTTACAAGGCTACTTACTATTATTCATATATGATACTTAACTTGATATTATTATTATTATTATTTTATATATATTGTATTAATGGAAGAGATCAAATTACTGGTAGTGTATTCGTATTACTCGTATATATTTCTTTGTAATGTCTCCTTTGATAATACTTTAAGAGGAGATTCCCCTAATACTACGCCTTATACTATTATATCATTGCTAATACCTTATACTATTATCTCATTGCTAATATGCACCTTATAGTAGTACCTCATCCCTAATATCGCACCTTATTCTAGTACTTCATCCCTAATACTACACTTTATACTTGAATCTCATTCCTCATAACTTACTCCATCTCACTTGGCTTCTCAGAAAACACCCTAAGCACAAACTTGGCCTCCTGATTTGGTGAATATGTTGATGGCACGATACAGTAGGTGCCAGGGGTAAGCTTCAAGCGGTGTGATACTTGGCGCCTGCACGGATACATGTTCTCGTGGGAGTCCTCGGCAGTGGAGGACTGGAAAAAGTTCAGGTCTAGGGGACGTGGAGCGCTATCTGGGTCTTCCAGCTGAGGGGAAAGAATAGTTGTGTTTTCCGTCATTATTCAGCTTACTGCTCCGAATGTTTGGGCAGTTGGTGTGCTCTCTGTAACTTTGTCATGACTTTGTTACTTTGTTATGCAGTGTTAGTATAGGAGGAAACTGTAGTGCCCGGAGAGAAAACGTGTCATGTTTGGTTGTGTCACACTGGGCCAAGGATTAAACCCAGGACACTAGTGAAATAATTGGGGTTGCCACTTTATCACAGTAGGTATTATAAGGAGAGATTTATCCGATAGTATGTTATTTACAGGGGAAACTAATACTGACCTGTGTTGTCTATTAAATTTGCTGCTTTCAGATGTATTAAGCACAAACTCAAGTCACAAGTATTAGGTCCTGGGAGCCAGAGTTTTTAACCGAAGCAACTGACTAGATGAAATATTATTATTCATTATAGTTACATAATATCACCCTATGGATATCACTGCGTTCTATATTATTGTTCCTGATTGAATACGTAGAATTTCAATTGAGTGTCTAAGTTAGAAGTTACATCTAGGTGAAAAGATTGACATGTGTTCTTATTATTAAATTGCCGCAATATTGCATCTGGTTAACCCCAGCCATGTGAGTGAGGGTAATAAAGGTATTAACTAGTTCTTACATGATAGACTTTGAAGCCAATCGGAATACACTTGTATTGGGTCTCCCATTGTGACCGTCGGTTATTCTGCATGAGGGCGACGACAACGGTACACAAGTTGTCATCATCGTCATCATCCACTTCTGTCAGCGTGATTCTGTACTGGGGGTTGTGCCAGAAGCTGTCTGTTGTGCAATGACACGACACTAATTAACTGTTGCATTGATTAATACCTGAAACATGATAAATACAATTCTCTTACAAAGGATTATACCGAGAATACTATATTGATATTGATAACTTTATATAATTTAGAATAAAATCATTTAAATGTCCTTAATATCAAATATTAAAATTAAAATATTAGCAGCAGTCTATCTGTCACTTAAGTAATTTGGTGTAAATAAAATATTGGATTTTCAACTCAGAATATTATGAATGACTCCATCTTCTAAATAAGACCTTAATAATTAAAACATTTTTATTAATCAGACTTCAAATGTCATTAATGTTAATAGTTAAATGTTTTTGTAAATTTATTCTATTATCTTACTAAGGTGGCTTGGGCATCCACCAGCCGTTGATCCACGGACCCAAGCGCCCTCAAAGATGTTCTTCTCCCACCTGTACTGAACACACTCTGTCATGTCCTCACCCACCATGTGATCAGGACTCAAGTGGGTTATTTCCAGCCCTGTGAAGTTTGTAATGAAGTCCTGCAAGTGTCATAAATTTATTTTTTAATGCCCTTCAAACATCAAATGTGGAATAAGTATTGAACATTGTCCATGAAGATGTTTTGCATCACGACTGCGTCTTGGTAATGAAAACATATGAACAGTTTTTAAATTTTTCTTGAAAAACTCCAAGTCCAGGCAGCATTGCATGCAGCTACTCTTAAAATAAATGTATTAGTGACTGTCCTACTCTAGAACCATTTTGTAGTACAGCTCACTATGGCTGATGCAACCATAGTGGTTATATTGGCCATGATCTAACTCGAGATGACTATCTGCCCATCTCCATCGTGACCATCTTGATATAACTATAATTGTAGGTACAGTACAGTACTGTAGTTTAATTAAACCAAATTATATAATTATTTCTGGGATAAATATCTACTTATAAACTTACAACAAGCATAAGAATAGCTACAGTGTGACGACAAAAATGATGATTGTCAATATTTTTTTCACTTTTGCAAATGACGTTGAAGGGGAATTATTTACAACAATATTATTCAAACAAATAACTGACCTCATATGACATCCAGAACTCTCCATCATGCTCAAAGGTCAGACCCAGCTCCTCCTCCTCCTCCGGGGTGATCGACTGCCACTGTGGACTCTGGTCACTCCACGCGCCGTTCCACTCTGTTTCGTTGCCCCAGGGATTACGAACACGAATAAGGTGAATACTTCCAGACTCTACGGTAGTATTGATCCCGGTAACAGAGTAAGCATGACCCTCTACAAGACCATTGGCACAGCGACCTTCTATTACATCAGGGTTAGAAGCCTGGGGGTGTAAAGGAAATTATAAACTTTTAATTTACATACAAGAACCAGATAAGAATATAGAATAATTATCAAACTTTGGTTACAGTACAAACCTACAAGATGTTGTTTTTGGCACGACTTTTATGGAAAATGTTTCCTAATTTGTCTATGATGTTTTATCAGAGAGACACAAATAAAACTGACTGTTGTGACGGTGCCAGACGTGACCACCACTGGCGTAGGTACAGATACATTCTTGAGCCGGTACCTGAATAGTACTCCTCAACAGTGGCGAAGAAGATAAAGTAAATTAGCGACTTGCTGTAAAGGATGTGTTAAATTATTTTATACTGCATTTATCTTTTTTGTGTTATAGGAGCAATCACGAATCATTCAGATTACAGTTGGCTCTCAAATTACGCAGCAATTACGTTCTTGAGAAAAAACGTACACTGCAATATTTATGAATAATACAGTAGAGTTAATTATAAACATACACTGATGTGGCAGCCCATAAAGGACCCCCGCTGAGAGGCCTTTAGCATAACAGTTAACAAGTTCGCAGGTGCCGTAGTGAGGTCATACATCTCAGTTAAACCTCCTGTGAAGTCTTCCATGGCGTCACTGGTGATGCCGCCCACCAAGCCTTGATATGAACCATGAATCCTGAAGGAAAAGGTTATGTTAGCATGCACTCATCATCACTCTCATCAACGCTTTACAGCCATTTTTCACATTTACATTCCCTGTATTTAACCAATTGATAAATGAAATATGATTATATCGTGTTCACCGTCACTTTGAAGGGCGATTTATGAGATATTTAATTGTCAATTGAAGCTGAGATGTGTTTAGATTATGTAAAGTATGTGAGACAGAATCGTGAATAATGTACTGCACAGCATCACTACCACAGAGATAATGGACAAGGCACAAAATATAAATTGCTACATATGACTACTAATGTTAGTCATTTGGTCAAATTATTTAATTTGTTTATTTCCAGTGTTTATGAGAGTTAAATACATGATACATGAATTTGTTGTCGGTTATACTTCACTAACTTACTTAGCATATGCCTTCTCAAGGAGTGCAGACCAGAATTCATTCCCTTCCTCAGAGTGCATGAAGACAAGGCGACCATTCTCTGTGGGAAGGCGGTCATCCACAACAATGTCAACCCAATGTCCATACTGCCAGAATCTGTAAATAAACTGGTAATTTGTAACTGCATTTCCCAAGCAAATGTGTAAAATTACTGAGGAAAAGGTAATCTGTTTTGATACTTTTCCCATCTTAGCCATTGTGAGATATAGTTATGAGTTTATATATTGTTGTCTAATTGTATGAACTATAATGTCGCTCTAGGGTAGTTGTCATTTGCTGTAGATATATACCTGAAGTGGAAGATACCAGCATAATTGTCTCCAAAACCTTGGTCTTCCGGAACAACCCTGTAAAACACTTCTTTGTTGAGGGTCAAGGTGGCAACAGCAGCTAAAAACCAACAGTCACCTGGAAATGACATATGAATGAGAACCAGAGTTATGGCTCTCACCACTGTGGTTGTGGGTTCAGTCCCCGGGCCAGATGTGAGAGAGGCGTTATCAAATGTGGCCATACCAAACATAGCAGGTTTAATCCGGGTACTCTAGTGTCCTCCCGTACTAACACTGGGCAGTGAAGATCGTAACAATGAACAGACTGATCGCCCGAATGAGTGGTAGAAATGATAAATGATAAATAACATATGAGAGCAAGTTAACGTACACCTTCACATCTAAAACCAATGCTTCAACTGGAGACTATGAACACTGTATTAATAATGATCAACAACTACAACTGGAAAGCAAGAATGAAAGAAACAAATCCAGACAACATTAATAATTTACTCTACTCACCAAGGCCCCCTTGCTTGACATCAAAGCGAGATACTCCTTCGATAAACAGCTCGGGCTGGTCTGTGAGGTCCTGAAGAATGGACAAAGAAGAAGGTTAATATCATCGACAAAAACACATCCACAAAAGTTTGACACTCTTTTAACAATGTTATTTATTAACTGAAGAATGTGCTGAAATTATATTCTACTAAAGGGAGACTTGAAAATTATTGTCTTCACTTAAGTTAAATTCAGTTCAGGGAAAGGGTTCCATTCAGAAAGCTGCATAACTGTGTATGTAAGCAACCGACGTCACGGAATGTGTATCTGTGGGAACTTTCATTTAGAATACGTCAACAAACCATCTTTCAGCAGGAGTAAAGCAGATAATAATATTGCATACTTACGTGGGGGCGCTTCCACTCATAGTTTTGGGAAGTGCTGAGGGAGCAGTGTTCAGCGGGGAACTCTGGGTCCTCGAAGAGTCTGCCTTCGTCTAAACATTTCTGACGGAGATTGTGGAAGTCCTGCACCTGACCCCCGTAACACAGACCTGACCCGCGCTCCCCAAGCTGTCCGAGAAGAAAAAAAGGGATTTCAGTTTCTTAGATTAGAAAATGAGTTGTAATCACCGAGAAGAAATGGATCACTATATTGTCTTTGAGGAAATATAGTGTGTTCATACTGCCCGGCCACCATTGGAAGCCACAAGTTCAGAAAATAGTTAAAGGTCAACTGTTTTGCCTGTCTTGCGGTGAAAGGCGTGAACTCTTACATTAACCTATCATAGAATGTTGTGACGGCACCAAATGTGAAGCTGTGAGCTGATCGACCGCCCAAGCTGATAACAGACCGATCAATAGGAAACAGGGAACAAAAAATTATGAAATATTTCAGAAAGTTCAAACTATGCCATTAAAATTCAGTAAACCTTATCGCAGAAAACCTCCGCCTTTGATTTCGTTATCAATATGTACTGTACTTTATGGTTTATTGCACTTACAAAAAGAAATCTTTGTATAATGTACGATAACACAATCTAACCTGACTATCTAATCTATTAGTTATTATGTAATAATAATAATAATAATTAACGGTTTATTGAAAGAGCATGGCAGCCAGAAGGCTGAAAATATACAATTACATATTTGGGGAATGGGTTACGAATTACAAATAATATACAAGTAACATAAGTGATACAAATAAGATATATAATAACTAGATGGGGAAAAGCTCAAACTACAGTGCATTTCAACATAGTGACAGTGCAAGGAGTAGTGTTTACTGGGAGTGAATACACTGGTTTATTACAAGTTATTGATAACGTAAATATGTATAAAATCCAGGGTCATATAAAAAGGACCATAATTTTTACAAAGGTTGGGACTGGGCTGTTCTTATAGCGATTAGTATGTGCTCGTATGGGCTGGATGCGGTTGAGGTGTCGAACAGCAATTCGCGGACGAGGGATCTCGGATGAGAGCAGGAGTCGGTGTCGAGGGTAGTGCAGAAGTTTTTCACCGAATTTGCAGATGAGGTCACGGTGATGATCAGAGAGAGCCGAGAGGGTCAGTTTTTAAAGTTCTGTTTGACAGTCCCAGATTATATTCAACATCGTCCTTGTTGATGTGAGTTTAGCTAGGGCATCAACTCATCATGCTGACTGATGCCTGTGTGAGATGGAATCCACAGCAACTTTATCCTGATACCCCCATCAACAAGACACATATGATTGTGTCTGGCTTCAGAGACAAGCAGGTGACAATTTAAGTTTAGGTCATCAAGAGCAAATAGTGAGGATAATCAGTCAGTGATGATGAGACCGTCAGTAACAGTGTCTTCAGCAAGTTTCGGGGCTGTGGGTATGGCAAATAGCTCAGTTTGTAAAGTGGATGCCCAGTTAATAATTCTAGCTCCTTTCTCTATTACATTACCGTTAGGCTGAGTCACAATGACAGCACTTCCAGCCCTCCCACAGACATTGTTAAGAGATCCGTCAGTGTAGATGGTCTGTGTGATGTTATTTTCAGTCTGTAGGTTATGGATGTGGTCAAGAGCTCTCATTTGGGCAACGTGTTGGAAATAAACTTTACTGTATGTGCGGTCACTCGTTTAGGCGTGTACGTCGGTGACTCAGCTTTGTACAGGTGGTCTAGTGCACACTATTAAAGTCAATCTCAGAAAGCTCCAACAATACCACTGTTATCTACGCATATGACATTTTTATACATAGTAAAACTCATCGTGAAATTCAAACCACCCAGAACCATGTACAGTATAGGAAGCTTGTGAGAACCTTTGTCTGATTTTCACTGAGAAAACTAAAGTATTCAACAAACAAGCTGGTAACCGCAAACGTGGACCACCAAAGCTTAGGAAAGGTAACAGCACCATTGATTATATCTCCTCTTTTAAATATCTTGGTGTCTCTATCCTCTGTACCTCACCTGTCATACAACAGCTAACCCGCCAATATGGGTGGGTGGGTGGTGAGAGAGATTGCATCGTCATTGGGTTTCATATTAATTGTACAGTATATTACTACCATCTATATTGATTATTATAACAGAATATTTTTTGTGGGTATGGAACACTCCAGATACAAATGCATGGTCATAAGTACACTTAATATTTATAAGTAAAAACCATATAACTCAAGCCTTCTCCCTGTCGATTTACACACTTAACATCTTTAAAAGTGCACTTGTTTGAGCAATCAATCAGAGAACCGTCCACATATTCAAACGCCTTGGTGATTAGAATAGCCCTCACTTATTCACTGTACTGTACCTTGAAAATTCTATTTGTTTGACAGCTTCGTGGCATGTTGTAGTGTGGTGCTCGCTGGTGTTCCTCTGGCGTGGTCTGCTCCCGCTGCACGCTGTTTGTAAGGGCAGAAACGATCCTCCGGCTAGTTACCGCTGCTAACTCGCTCGTTTGCTGGTGCATACGACACTTGGGGTGGTTGGACGGAGGTGATAACGGCAGCAACCCTCTCCGCCGCGGGCAGATTCAACCCAGCCACCATACCGTCAGTATCTAGCTACCCTGCTGTCCGTCAAATTCTGGCTGTGATCTCATCTTAGGTCCTGGACTCGTGGGCTGTGTTCCCAGACCTTCACCTATCAACTGCCAACTCTCTGGTCATCTACCACTACCGCCTACCACGGCCATCAGTTCATCACATTCCGTCGGTGCCCCGGTGTTCTCCTGCCTTTTTCAAGACGTTGCTGAGTGTGGAGTGAATGGACGCCTCCCTGCCCTGAGTGTGCATCACCGTGTTCCAGAACCTTCCCCCAGGGCCACTGCCGTAGGAAATATTTGTTCATTGTTTGATTCCATTAATTGCTGACTCCCCTTTATTGTTCGATTCTATAGATTGTTGACTCCATTTAATTGTTTGAATCCATTAATTGCTGACTCCCATTATTTGTTTGATTCCTTTAATTGTTGCTTCCATTAATTGTTTGACTCCCGTAATTATTTGATGTTTGTTGAGTGGTGTCAGAGTTTTGTGTTATATTTTTATAGTAAAGAGATGCCAATCTCGAACGGTTGTTTGTTATTCCTCGGAAAACCATGGTCCTTGACTTTCCTTTATTAAGATCCTGATTAGCCTGGTAAGGGATTTCTATCCCTAAGTCCTAGGCCTTCACACTGTTCCCTCAGTGAAGAGTACAGTACAAGGCAAACCAACGCTTGGGGAACATAATCTTTTGATCACTTGTCATTACTCATATTACTTGCCTTATCATGAACCAGAGTCGTACTTTCCTTGATCTCTCGACTTAATTGGGTTATAAACACAAATTGAAGCAACTTAACACAATCTAACGTACAGAGCTTAATTTCACCTAACGTAGCTATATAAACAAACCCAACAACCACCACCACCTTCCTCAACACCCGCCACTCACACATTGGGTAATTTCACTCATAACGTTGACTAAAAACTCCCCCAATGGGTAACTTTAGTCTCAGAAGCTCCTCTCTGGTACAAGATCGTACTTTAGGTCGTCCAGGATACCGGGACACGATCTTGAAATAATAAATATGTCTGACATCACTGAGTGGTCAGGTAACACTGGTGTGCCTCACAGCAGGTGGCGTGAAGCAATTCACGTTATGGAACACATAGTACACACAACAAAATGAATAATGTTATTATAGTTGTTTCATGTGACCTACATTACTATGGTCAGTCTTGATATAATGCCAATTTATCGAAAAATACATCCTCACAAAGTACAACTTGGTAATTTTAATATTTGGGATTTATTGTGAAAGTACTGTACTGTATGTATCTACGACCACTGTATATACTGCGGTACAGACTTGTTTGTAGTGATAATTGGTGGTTCATTCAATGTGGTACAAATTGTTCAAAGTCACTCAAATACAGAATTATTTATTTTTTCGTGTTTTCAATTACAAACATTTAAAATAAGAAAGAAATATAACCAAAACACAGAGAACATCACTGCACAGTCACCGTATACCTGGGAGACTGTCACTTTAACTCACTGGTTCGTTCCCTGTGACAGAAATAACCCAATTATGTCTTTAATTATTCATATTTATATCTAAGAGATACTTAGAATAACCAACAAAATAACATTGTATCCACAGAAACCCACCGTCCCACACCAATATTTGTGTGTACATTATTTGGGTGATTCATGCCGCCGTGTTCCATTGACTTTGATCAAACTTTTCTTTTCTTATCATCGGCTGGTAGGTGATAGAAACTTAAATGTGTTCGATTTGTCGTTGAAACACAATTCAGCACGTACCGTACCTGTTAACTTTGGGCATTTCGGCGGCAAATAACTGCAAGTAAGTCGTGCACCCTTCGCAAATCAAGCGGTAAACAACCGGTGACGTACTGTAGTTATGGGATAGGGCTATTAAGCCTTCGAATGGTGAGCTCGGGTGTGACGCTGCATGCGGTAATAGCGCAACAATAAAATGACGCCCACCTGCCTCTAACACCTACAAGGAATAACAAACATTGATCAGCATTAATGACCCACACGTTTAGGACAAAACTGTATCACAGTTTTTCTATATATATAGTGTACAGTAACAGCAACCATCTTGTTGACACTGAACACAGTAATGAAACAGGAAAATCCAGAGAAACTCCTTGAATGGTCCAGTTGTTACTCAGTGGGGAATTACCCTCTGAAAGTTATGATCAAAATACTTCTATGGTTCGCCAATTGCCTGGAAAACGAAAATGAAATGTTGACACTCATTATTTTCCTACTTAATTTACCATAATATCAATCAGTCACTTCAAAGACATGCTCCATTAATTGCACCTAGGTTAATTATTAATTATACTCAGTGTTGTGTTATTAAGCAATGCCTAACAAGGTTGAACATATAATTGGTATAACATTATATCTAATCAATAATCCCTAATCAGTAAGATCAGCAAATATAAAGAACTTGAGAAAACCCACCAGTACTTTACCTGACATACCAATAATTTAGTCTTATACAGTATAAAGTTCTTCACATATTCATCAATATCTGTTCTGCATATACCATAATTATATAGATCTTC